CAAATCAAAACGGATATGGCCCCTGGAATACTGAATGTGCACTTTGCCACTTGGATGGAGTGTCTACTGGTTGCACAGACAAGATTGTGACATGCCCAGGTGCCCAGAAATATGTGGACAAAGGACTCCTTGAGAAAGACAGCACCTATCACGTCCTTGCCAGTGGCCAATTTATCCCACATCACTGGCCTGGTTGAGACCTTAAGGAAAAGGTTGACAACTACTACAAGGACCACCCAGAACATTGTCTGAAATTGCAAACAACCCCTCTTGTCACCTTTCACAACGTGATCATCAAAGATATTGGCTCAGACTTTGAATTTGAAATCATGGTAAATCACTTGGTGCTGCATATCCTTGCTGAGAAACAGGATGACACAGTTGAATGGAACAACAAGGCAATCAAGGTGTTAATGGCTGAAGCCAAATGACTCAGGAAAAGGCATGTGGCATCCACAGGAAAATCAGTCAAGGTCTCTGAAGTTTATACCCTGGCAGCTAGAAAGGAGAAATTGGAAGCATGTGTGCATCACAGCACCTCACACTTCACCAGCGTATGGGTGGACGAACTGGAGAAACTGGATGCTGTACCGGACCCATGAAAACCCCATGCCAAATGGCCCAAAAATGCAGAGGATGAAACAGTTTTGCAGGCACTAGCGGTTACTCTTGCCCAAACCCTGGTTCAAGTTCCCAGCAAGGTCCTGGCATCAGCATGTCCTCTGCTTAACAAGGTGCTGAAGGAAGCTTACAGAAAGAAACCAATTATTCCGGACATCATTCAGGTGACCAAGGTTCAAGATGGTGAGGCTCCAATATACCAGATCAAAGGCATTTTGGAAGACATGAATGGTTTATTGGTTGGCAAAGACATGGTCCCCCCTCTGGCAGATCAACTGTTTAATTGGCCACTATGACACTCCTGTTGCCTGCATCCTTGATGGCAGCTCAGGCATTGTTGGCATCAGCAAAAGGTGTTGCAAACAAATCAGACTTGCATACACCCTGGTGAATGGACGGTGCATGGAATCTGCAAACAGATTGGTCAATCAACTTCTCAGACATGTCCCAAATTTATGCATCAGCATCTCTGGTCTCAACTTCTATGTCCAGGCTTTCATCCTCCCAAACCTGCCTTTCCACCTGCTCCTTGGTCACCCATTCCATGTCCTCCCCTCTTGCATCACTCAGGATTATATGGACGGAAAGCAGAAGATACAGATAATGTGTCTGAATTCCCACCAGACAATAAACTTGTGGATGCAATTGTACTGAATGGGAAGGAAACAAGTGGTCCAGGATTTTTAATTCAGGACCATCTTCCCTGGTAACCAGAAGATGGAATGGAAACCTTGATCAATCAGCACTTGATCTTGAACAACAGCTCTCAGGTAGACACCCCGGATTTGGATACAATACCCAACAAGACCCATCCTGTATATGCAGCCCAAAAATACAAACCTGCAGACAGACATGTGAAGCCTGTCTCAACAACAACACCCAAAAGTGTGAAAATATGGAGACACTTTCCCTCCAACCCTCTCGCTACACTTCCCCCACTCCCTGATACCCCACCAACATTTACCCCCAGAAAACAGCTCACTCTGGAATGGTTCAAAGAACTGAACATAAACAAATATGGATTCCTTTGGCCTGGAGAAGAAAACCTTGTGGCTTGGGTTCTTCATACCCACAAAATGGTGTTTGCTTGGAATGAGCAAGAGATGGGTTTATTTCACAGTGATTACTTTGACCCAGTCTGAATTCTGATGATCAAACATATACCCTGGCAGCAGAAGAATATTCCAGTGCCCCCTGCTTTATTACCAAAAGTCCTCAAAGCATTACAGGACAAACTAAATGCGGGGATTTATGAACCCTCCCAATCCTCATACCGATCCCATTGGTTTTGTGTCCTGAAGAAAGATGGATCCCTTTGGCCCATTTTGGACCTGCAACTGTTGAACAGAGTAACAATTCAGGACTCAGCCCTTCCTTTGCTTTCTGAACCACTCATTGAGTCCTATGGCAGACATTCTGTCTACATGCTCTTTGATTTCTTTTGCAGCTTTGAACAACACCTCCTGCACCCAGAAAGTCAGGATCTCACCACCTTCCAGTTGCTCAAAGGCTCCCTGTGTAGCACCCAAAATCAGATGGGCAGCACAAACAGTGTTCAGATTATGCACAAAGATGTTACCTTCCTCCTCCATGATGAGATTCCTGAATATACCATCCCCTTCATTGACAATGTCCCCATCTGCAGCCCACCAACATGATATGAACTCCCTGATGGCAATTTTGAATGGCACTCCCGAAATAAAGGCATCTGTCATTTCATATGGGAACACATGGAAACCATAAATTGGATCCTGACCTGCATCAAACATTCTGGTGGCACATTCAGTGGTCTGAAAATGGTTATAGCAGCTCCTGAAGTCATCATCCTTGGCCAATGTTGTACCTACACTGGCCGACAACCTGAGCCTTCCAAAGTTGCAAAAATCCAGGACTGGCAGCCATGCAAATCCCTCACAGAAGTTTGAGCATTCCTGGGTACCCTTGGCATCCTCTGAATATTCATCAAGGATTTTGCTATGAAGGCACACCCTTTGGAACATCTCAAACACAAGGGCATAATATTTGCATGGGGCTCTGAGCATCAAGCAGCCTTTGACCCGGTAAAAGCAGACACCTGTTGGGAGGGGCTCCTCTGTCCCATCAACTATGAAAGCAACTGCTGGATTATCCTTGTGGTGGATTCCTTGAATATTGGTGTTGGATATGTCTTATACCAAAACAGTGTCAATGGCAAATGGAAACCAGCTCACTTTGGATCCCTGGCATGGAATGATGTCAAATCCCAATATTCTCAGCCCAAACTCAAACTATATGGCTGATATCATGCTCTCTGGGCACTGCAGGTTTTCCTCATCAGCACACCCTGATTTATTGTTGAAGTGGATGCATCCTGCATCAAAGGAATGTTAAACAATCTGGACCAGCAGCCTGCCACAGCCCTCAACCATTGGGTCAGTGGTATCCACCAATTTGACTTTGATCTTGTACATGTTCCTGCCAAAAAACACACTGGTCCCAATGGTCTCTCCTGCCATCCCCTGAATTCATTGGATGCTCCAAACCCACTGGACATCAACCATGAACAATGCCTGGGACTCTTGTACCCTGCATACCTCCAACCTGCAGTCAAGGACTCTGAGCCCAAAATAGAGATACCCTCTGCCTGACACCTCAATGACCACATTGCATTTATCTGCCAGTACCTCACCAATTTGTTGCTCCCTCCAGACTGGCATACACGGCAGTGCGCAGCCCTTGTTAAGCAGTCCCTTCAGTATTTCCTTCACAATGGCAAATTGTGTCAATGCAATCTCACCAGCTCCCTCCAAATATATGTTCCCCCCACCGACCATCTTGCCCTGCTCAAGCAAGCCCATGATGACAGTGGTCATAAAGGTTTCAAGACTGTTGCCAGTATTCTCTGTCTCCAATTTTGGTGGCCAGACCTCTGTGCAAATATCAAATGGTACCTTCACACCTGCCATGTGTGTCAAGTCCATAGCATTTGAAAGGTCTTCAAACCTCCAACAGTCAATTATCTGGCTCCGCTTTTCTCCAAGATCTACTGTGATACCATGAAGATGCCACCCATGAAAGGATACACCTGCATTGCTCAAGTCCGCTGCTCCCTATCCTCATACCCCAAATGGCATCCTTTAAAATCAGAAACTGCAACAGCCCTTGCATCCTTCCTCTTCCACAATGTCATTTGCTGATGGGGAAATATTGCAGAGATTGTAACCAACAATGGATCAGCATGGGTAGCTGCCGTGAAAGAACTGGCATGATGCTTTGGGATATGGCACATCCGAATTTTGCCATACAACTCTTGTGCAAATGGTGCAGTCAAATCGAAACATTTTACAGTTCAACAGGTGATTCTGAAAGCATGCAGCAATAACATCAAGCAATGGCCTGACAAAGTGCCAACCACATTCTGGGCTGAGTGAATTTTGGTCCAGCACAGCACTGGTCTCTCACCATATTTGATTGCACATGCTGTCCACCTGGTCTTCCCCATGGACTTCAAGCAAGCAATGTTTCTTGTGCCCCCACCCAAATTCCCTATGACCAACAGTGACAAGCTAGCCTACAGAATTTGACAGCTCAAGCATTGCAAATCCAATCTATCTGATCTCCAGGAAAAAGTTCACCAGGCCTGACTACCCACAGCTGACCAATTTAAGGTGGACAATGAGCACATCCTCACCAACTACAACTTCCAACCTGGCACCCTGGTCCTCATTTGCAATACTTGCATCAAGAAGGAACTTGGCCATAAATTGAAGCCCCAGTTTCTCAGTCCCATGGTTGTAATCACATGGACTGCTTGAGGCAGTTATGTGATTGCTGATTTGGATGGTGCCATTCTCAAGGCCTGGATTGCCCAGTTCAGAGTCTACCCATACCACCAGCAATCCAAATGTACCCCCACCCTACCAGACATATTGCAGCAGACATCTGCCAAAATCCTGCAGACTGTAGAAGATGTCTTGTCAAATACTGCAGAGCCCAACCCCAAATAAATGGTGCAGGACTTATGCCCACCAGCTCATTGAAACAGCATGGGCCTTACCTCCTGCATTTGTCACTTGTTTTCTCATTTGTTTCCCCAAGATATATCTACTAAGTCCACAAGCAGACTCAGTAGTATGGCAAGAACATGATCCTTACCAGAATACCCACAATTTCCTATGATACACATGACATCTGAATTATCAAAGCAAAAATGTTGAAGTCACAAGTCTTGAGGCACACTGAAGTAGCATTGAGCAGACCAGATGGATTACCTCGAATTTTGCTTCAGGTGAAATTTGGATCTACAAGCACATGAAGACATGACTATGCTACAATTACAACTATGAGACCAAAATATGACACAGAAAAAAAAAAAAAAAAAGAAGAAGGGGCAACCTGATTTACTCAGCCAGAGCCCTCCCCAGGAGAGTCTGGACTTGGTCTGCCCAGCCTGTTACTGTGTCCATTGCCTTCTGTGCTGCATCCACTGCTTTCTGAGCTGTGTGCAGGCTCTTCCACAGCTCAAGCATCTTGGGCTCCACCATACAGAGCAGCACAACTGGCAGCTCAACCTCTACCAGTTCAGTTAGTGTCACCCGGATATACACTATCAACGGAAAGAACTTACCAGCCTCCAGAAGGTGGGACCACTTTTGCGACGGGCCAACCGAGTCCTCATCATCCTCCTGCTCACATTTTTCAGGCTTCACTGGTGCATAGCTGTGCACCAGCTTCCGCTTCTTCTTCTTGGTGGGCTTTTCAGCAGTTTCTTCAACAGGCTTGGGCTCAGGAGTCTCCAGGAGGAAAAGATCCTCCACAGATGCTGCAGGCAGAGCCATGGCCTTGGCAAGATGCACTGAAATGGGAGTTAGTAAAAGTCAATAAAAGCAGGAGAAAAAGTGGCATACCTGTATGCATGCTGCAAGGCTTTTTTGTTGCCTTGCATGTTGAGCAAACCACCTTATTGGCCACATCTGCAATATCACATTTGTGGTGTGCCTTGCCATCTTTGACCATGGTGTGTTTGCAGCACAATGTACACTGCCGAAGATGTGTCAGAAAGGTTAAAACGGAGCACAAAAAGCGGGGATGACTCACACAATTTTCTGCCACAAATGACTCCAACACTGTGGCATCCATTGTAGCCAGCAAGACCTTTACCAGCATCTCTTCTGGCATCCACCCCTGCAATAATTTGGTCAGCATATGTAAGCACAAAGGGGACAGCAGCTGACTTACTGCATTGTGGGAGTCCTCCTCCATTGGCCTCCTGTGAGCCCTGGTCACAGGCAGTGTCTTATTCATGCCATTGTCAAGGCACGGCATGACCGACTTTGCTGGCATCATTTCCATTGCCTTTGCCTTACCCTTTTTGGCCTTCACCAGTGGGCTGGCCAGGCTCCCCAGGGATGTCTGTATAATTTGGGTTAGTCACAGAAACTGGCTCACAAAAAAGGAAACATGTACCAAAAAACCAGACAGCATCACCTTAAACTTCTTCTCCTCCTTGTCCTCTTCCTCATCCTCCTCTGGTAGTGCAGACAAAGCAGCCAGCTCCTCTTGCTGGTCCAGACCAAAAAAATGGACCCACTTCTTGGGCAAATCACAGACAAGGGCCTTCTGTGGACTGTTGAGCAACAGTGTGACTGCATTGCCAAATGGCGCAATGTCTGAATATTTCACCAAGGGCAAAAATCCAGGATCCTCAGCATCTTCCTGCATGTGCACAACAATCACAGCGGCCGTCTTCAGCATGGCGGCATGTTTATCCTCTGGCTTGGCAGTGGACTTGTGAGTGGTAGGCTTGGCCATGTCAGAGCATGGGGATACAAGTAAGCAGAGGCAGGGGTTCAGTTGAGATCTGTGGGGACAGGAAAGGTGAAATTCGGTCCCATTTATAGGCACAAGAGCACCTCAGTGGAAAACAAAAATGTGCATGGGCCCCATTAAGCACCAATATCCGGAACACTGTTTCAGCTAAGGTGGTGCAGATAAACACCACACTGGGCTTTGCCAAGCAACAAATTGGACAGTCAGGGTCTCAGGCACTGTGCAACTCAATGCAAAAAACTTGGTCAGGGTCCCTCTTGCAGAGTTAAGCAGCACTGCAAGCCACCACTTAGGGTCTTCACATGCTTCCAGCCACCCTTAGTGCCAAATGCACAGCAATGCCCTCCAATCCGCCCTTCACTGATTATGTTGATGCCACCATTTTACCAGTGCCCCAATGTGCAGCCTGATGTCTTACAGCAGAGAGTCTCATGATTGGTTCTTGATAATGCTGCTCTTGCTTAACTTGATATTTGGTGGTGCCACACTGTGTTCCTGGCTGTGCACTTATGTCACCTGGGGCCCCACTGACTTGGGGAGTCAGTATTCAAGGTTTGGGGGGGATGAACAACCCCACCTCCAGTAGGGTGTGTCAGGCCAACATTCCCACACCTATTTTCAGGCCTTAGAGACTGTTGCACAGTGCTACAGACCCTCACTACACAGGACAATGCACCCTGGCAATGAGTCTTGACTCCCCCAGATATTCAGCATGGCGACAACTATGATTTCCCAGGCAACGGGATGGATATTCAGCATAACAACTACAGGTTTTCCCTGCAATGGGATCAACCCACATGGATATTCAGCATGCCAACACCTAGGAGAGGTATCCAGAGACCAGATTAGTATAACGTGCAGTTTTTAGTAGCTAGTATAAGTAGTTTCCAGAAACTCCTGTATCTAGCTTATTCTGCCCCCTTTCTGTTAGCAATTATATGGATCCGATTATCCCCTTACTGGATAGGCAGATTTGACTTGACTCAGCATACTCAACTTGACTTATTTGTGACACTTGACTAGACAGACACTGAGCTCTGATTTACCAACTGATTTCTGACAGCTCAGCTTCAGGCTGACTTCAGCATTTCTACCAAGGCTTGTACACAGGGGCAGGATCATGGTGCATATCATAAAACCTGGCCATGTCTGTCTTAGCTTGTTCCAGAGCAGCCTTACACTCCTCCTGGGTCTGGGAAAGTCTAGAGAGAAACTGGCTAACTCCCTCAGCTCTAGTTTCTCTTTTAGGCTCCACACCCAGTCTTGGATGTTGACCAGAGTCCACCATGAAGGGAGTGAGTCTAGTAGCTGCTTGTACCCTATTGTTATAGGCAAACTCAGCCACAGGAAGCCAATCCACCCAGTTATCCTGTTGATAGTTAACAAACAGCCTGAGGAACTGCTCAATTTCTTGATTAATCCTCTCAGTCTGTCCATCAGTCTGGGGGTGGTAGGCTGTGGAGGCTGAAGTCTTGATACCAAGCAGCCTGTTCAACTCTCTCATAAACTCTGAGATAAACTGGGAGCCCCTATCACTGAGCACTTCCTCAGGAAGGCCATGATGTCTCCAAACATTGTCTCTAAAGAGTCTAGCAATGCCTGCAGAGGTTACCCCTGTTGTGGTGGGTGCAAAGTGGGCTCTCTTGCTGAGCCTATCCACAGCAACAAAGATAGCATCATAGCCCTCACTCAGTGGAAGCTGGGTGATGAGATCAGTGGTAACCACTTCCCATCTCTTACTAGGAATCTTGTTTAGCAGGAGCTCCCCAACAGGTTTGGTTGGGAAAGTCTTAGTTCTGTTACAAGCATCACAGGTTGCTACATATCTTGCAACAAACCTGCTAATGCCTGGCCACCAATAATTCCTA